AGTGACCAGTGTTGCGTGGCAGCCCCACGCAACACTACACGCTACACTACACGCAACACTACACGCTACACTGCACGCAACACTACCGAACTGCTGGCAGGGGCAGCATTTTGGAGCTTTGAGGCTTTTAAGGAACGAAACAAAAATACAAGTCAGCTTTTTCTGTCCTGACCTGAAATGCTGCCCCTGGCAGCATTTTGGTAGTGTTGCCTGTAGTGTAGCTTGTAGTGCTGCGTGTAGTGTTGCGTGAGTGTTGCGTGTGGTTTGCAGTGTAGCGTGTGGCGGCTGCTATGTAGCTCATTTTGCCTCGTGCTCAGCTGCGTGCAGGTGAAGAGTGAAGCACACTGGGGGAACTATAAGAAGAACCGACGATGGATTTGATCCCCTGGAAGTAGCTGGTGACGGGCAGAAATTTGCAAGACCAAAAATACAAGGAATCCTTTTCGTTCTTCGTACTGAAATTTTATGTGCCTGGTTGAAGAACTGCAAAGAATCAGCGGGCAGAAGCTGAAGGATGTTTTGGCCATATGCATTCGTTATCTTGTCGGCAGATCAGCCTTTGAATTAAAGGTCATCAAGCCTGGTGCATTTAGATTTGACTATATTGCAACACAAGCTGGGCAGAGCAGCGCTGGCATGCGGGAAAATGGTTGCCTGACCAGAAGGAGGGAGGAAGCAGAATCTTTTCAAAAGAAGCACGTGAAAGTGACCAGTGTTGCGTGGCAGCCCCACGCAACACTACACGCAACACTACACGCTACACTGCACGCAACACTACCGAACTGCTGGCAGGGGCAGCATTTTGGAGCTTTGAGGTTTTTAAGGAACGAAACGAAAATACAAGTCAGCTTTTTCTGTCCTGACCTGAAATGCTGCCCCTGGCAGCATTTTGGTAGTGTTGCGTGTAGTGTGTAGTGTTGCGTGTAGTGTAGCGTGAGTGTTGCGTGTGGTTTGCAGTGTAGCGTGTGGCGGCTGCCATGTAGCTCATTTTGCCTCGTGCTCAGCTGTGTGCAGGTGAAGAGTGAAGCACACTGGGGGAACTATAAGAAGAACCGACGATGGATTTGATCCCCTGGAAGTAGCTGGTGACGGGCAGAAATTTGCAAGACCAAAAATACAAGGAATCCTTTTCTTTCTTCGTACTGAAATTTTATGTGCCTGGTTGAAGAACTGCAAAGAATCAGCGGGCAGAAGCTGAAGGATGTTTTGGCCATATGCATTCGTTATCTTGTCGGCAGATCAGCCTTTGAATTAAAGGTCATCAAGCCTGGTGCATGTAAATTTGACTATATTGCAACACAAGCTGGGGCAGAGCAGCGCTGGCATGCCGGAAAATGGTTGCCTGACCAGAAGGAGGGAGGAAGCAGAATCTTTTCAAAAGAAGCACATGAAAGTGACCAGTGTTGCGTGGCAGCCCCACGCAACACTACACGCTACACTACACGCAACACTACACGCTACACTGCACGCAGCACTACCGAACTGCTGGCAGGGGCAGCATTTTGGAGCTTTGAGGCTTTTAAGGAACGAAACGAAAATACAAGTCAGCTTTTTCTGTCCTGACCTGAAATGCTGCCCCTGGCAGCATTTTGGTAGTGTTGCGTGTAGTGTAGCGTGAGTGTTGCGTGTGGTTTGCAGTGTAGCGTGTGGTGGCTGCCATGTAGCTCGTTTTGCCTCGTTCTCAGCTGTGTGCAGGTGAAGAGTGAAGCACACTGCAGCAACAATAAGAAGAACCGACGATGGATTTGATCCCCTGGAAGTAGCTGGTTACGGGCAGAAATTTGCAAACCAAAAATACAAGGAATCCTTTTCTTTCTTGTGCTGAAATTTTATGTGCCTGGTTGAAGAACTGCAAAGAATCAGCGGGCAGAAGCTGAAGGATGTTTTGGCCATATGCATTCATTGGCTTGTTGGCAGATCAACCTTTGAATTAAAGGTCATCAAGCCTGGTGCATTTAGATTTGACTATATTGCAACACAAGCTGGGCAGAGCAGCGCTGGCATGCCGGAAAATGGTTGCCTGACCAGAAGGAGGAAGGAAGCAGAATCTTTTCAAAAGAAGCACATGAAAGTGACCAGTGTTGCGTGGCAGCCCCACGCAACACTACACGCTACACTACACGCAACACTACACGCTACACTGCACGCAACACTACCGAACTGCTGGCAGGGGCAGCATTTTGGAGCTTTGAGGCTTTTAAGGAACGAAACGAAAATACAAGTCAGCTTTTTCTGTCTTGACCTGAAATGCTGCCCCTGGCAGCATTTTGGTAGTGTTGCGTGTAGTGTAGCGTGTAGTGTTGCATGTAGTGTAGCGTGAGTGTTGCGTGTGGTTTGCAGTGTAGCGTGTGGCGGCTGCCATGTAGCTCATTTTGCCTCGTGCTCAGCTGTGTGCAGGTGAAGAGTGAAGCACACTGGGGGAACTATAAGAAGAACCGACGATGGATTTGATCCCCTGGAAGTAGCTGGTGACGGGCAGAAATTTGCAAGACCAAAAATACAAGGAATCCTTTTCTTTCTTCGTACTGAAATTTTATGTGCCTGGTTGAAGAACTGCAAAGAATCAGCGGGCAGAAGCTGAAGGATGTTTTGGCCATATGCATTCGTTATCTTGTCGGCAGATCAACCTTTGAATTAAAGGTCATCAAGCCTGGTGCATGTAGATTTGACTATATTGCAACACAAGCTGGGGCAGAGCAGCGCTGGCATGCCGGAAAATGGTTGCCTGACCAGAAGGAGGGAGGAAGCAGAATCTTTTCAAAAGAAGCACGTGAAAGTGACCAGTGTTGCGTGGCAGCCCCACGCAACACTACACGCTACACTACACGCAACACTACACGCTACACTGCACGCAGCACTACCGAACTGCTGGCAGGGGCAGCATTTTGGCTTTTAAGGAACGAAACGAAAATACAAGTCAGCTTTTTCTGTCCTGACCTGAAATGCTGCCCCTGGCAGCAATTTGGTAGTGTAGCGTGTAGTGTTGTTGCGTGTAGTGTAGCGTGAGTGTTGCGTGTGGTTTGCAGTGTAGCGTGTGGCGGCTGCCATGTAGCTCATTTTGCCTCGTGCTCAGCTGTGTGCAGGTGAAGAGTGAAGCACACTGGGGGAACTATAAGAAGAACCGACGATGGATTTGATAACTGGAAGTAGCTGGTGACAAGCAGAAATTTGCAAGACCAAAAATACAAGGAATCCTTTTCTTTCTTCGTACTGAAATTTTATGTGCCTGGTTGAAGAACTGCAAAGAATCAGCGGGCAGAAGCTGAAGGATGTTTTGGCCATATGCATTCATTAGCTTGTCGGCATCAACCTTTGAATTAAAGGTCATCAAGCCTGGTGCATTTAGATTTGACTATATTGCAACACAAGCTGGGCAGAGCAGCGCTGGCATGCCGGAAAATGGTTGCCTGACCAGAAGGAGGGAGGAAGCAGAATCTTTTCAAAAGAAGCACTGAAAGTGACCAGTGTTGCGTGGCAGCCCCACGCAACACTACACGCTACACTACACGCAACACTACACGCTACACTGCACGCAACACTACCGAACTGCTGGCAGGGGCAGCATTTTGGAGCTTTGAGGCTTTTAAGGAACGAAACGAAAATACAAGTCAGCTTTTTCTGTCCTGACCTGAAATGCTGCCCCTGGCAGCATTTTGGTAGTGTTGCGTGTAGTGTAGCGTGTAGTGTTGCATGTAGTGTAGCGTGAGTGTTGCGTGTGGTTTGCAGTGTAGCGTGTGGCGGCTGCCATGTAGCTCATTTTGCCTCGTGCTCAGCTGTGTGCAGGTGAAGAGTGAAGCACACTGGGGGAACTATAAGAAGAACCGACGATGGATTTGATCCCCTGGAAGTAGCTGGTGACGGGCAGAAATTTGCAAGACCAAAAATACAAGGAATCCTTTTCTTTCTTCGTACTGAAATTTTATGTGCCTGGTTGAAGAACTGCAAAGAATCAGCGGGCAGAAGCTGAAGGATGTTTTGGCCATATGCATTCGTTATCTTGTCGGCAGATCAACCTTTGAATTAAAGGTCATCAAGCCTGGTGCATGTAAATTTGACTATATTGCAACACAAGCTGGGCAGAGCAGCGCTGGCATGCCGGAAAATGGTTGCCTGACCAGAAGGAGGGAGGAAGCAGAATCTTTTCAAAAGAAGCACATGAAAGTGACCAGTGTTGCGTGGCAGCCCCACGCAACACTACACGCTACACTACACGCAACACTACACGCTACACTGCACGCAGCACTACCGAACTGCTGGCAGGGGCAGCATTTTGGAGCTTTGAGGCTTTTAAGGAACGAAACGAAAATACAAGTCAGCTTTTTCTGTCCTGACCTGAAATGCTGCCCCTGGCAGCATTTTGGTAGTGTTGCGTGTAGTGTAGCGTGTAGTGTTGCGTGTAGTGTAGCGTGAGTGTTGCGTGTGGTTTGCAGTAGCGTGGCGGCTGCCATGTAGCTCATTTTGCCTCGTGCTCAGCTGTGTGCAGGTGAAGAGTAAAGGTGTTGCTGTTGGGCAGCGGTCACCTGATACAAATCACAAGTGATACGCTCACCAGCAGAAGCGGTCAAGGAAAATGGATTCCCTTGGAGGAAATACAGAAATTCACTGCAGGGTCCAGGCAGAGCAAAACCAATTTCACTTTCAATGGTGGATGGCTGAGTTAACAGCAGCAAACGCCCCTGGGATTGGTGAGCCGGGGCTCCAAGGCCAAATCAAAATTGCAGAAAGTCAGAAAAAATCTAATAAGCCCGTGGGCCAGAAAAGAGCACTGTCCCACTCAGGAAAATGGCACAGCCCCAGGTAGAATGCACAAAACGTCGGGGGGGAGTTTGGGCCAAATGCCTTTTTATGTTGAGTAGATGAGTTATGAATCGTTTAAGGGCTATCGCCCTTTGTTTCCAAAAAACAGGCAAGGCAGCTTGTACCTCCTGAAATTCACCATGCCAATGCTTCTCCAGCAAATGTGTCGGCACGTGGACCACGAACAACTCCGCCCTTCCCGCCTTAAGGCTGTAGGCAAACTCATTGGTTGAACCGCCACGAAGGACAGTCCATTGGTGGGCGCCGGCGGAGGAAAGCTTCATCAGCATGAGGTCGGAATGGCCGATGTTGTTGTTGTTGGTTTGGCCATCGAAGCCACTGCTCACAGTATACCCAGCAGCAACAATGTCACCAGCACCGTCTACCTGCGCCGGCTAGGTCTCGGCAGGAAAGCCACACAGGTAGCGCAGAGAACAAAGGAAAACCTATTTTTGGGAACTTGTGAACTCCCTCATGCACTTCAGCAGTTGGAGCTAATTGTGAGCGGATACCTCAAACAGAATACATAATCAAGTCTTCTTTCCAAGGTGCTTCTGGGGAGGAACTTTGTTATTATGTTCATTTAGTCTCAGTGCAACGCGCTGGGCCTCAACAAACAATAAAAGGACCGGATAACCCCACAAGTCAACTTCTTCCAATAATGAGCCAGAATGTTGTAGCGGGGACGGGGAAGGAAGGAAAGACAAAGGAGGAGCTGGAGGAAAGACGGTGTGTGACAAAGTTGCGTGTGAAAGATGATGTGTGTGAAAGATGGTGTGTGAAAGATGGTGTGTGACAAAGTTGTGTGTGTGACAAAGTGGTGTGTGAAAGATGGTGTGTCAAAGATGGTGGGTGACAAAGTTGTGTGTGTGTGAAAGATGGTGTGTAAAAGATGGTGTGTCAAAGAGGGTGTGTGTGAAAGATGGTGTGAGAAGTGGAGCTGTGATGGGTTGTGATGTGATAAGTGAGCTGTGAGAAGTGAGGTGTGAGAAGTGGAGCTGTGATGAGTGAGTGTGTGAGAAGTGAGGTGTGAGAAGTGGAGCTGTGGTGAGTTGTGATGTGATAAGTGAGGTGTGAGAAGTAGTGTGAGGAGTGGTGTGAGAAGTGGAGCTGTGATGAATTGGGATGTGATAAGTTGTGATGAGTTGTGATGAGAAGTTGTGATGTGATAAGTGAGGTGTGAGAAGTGAAGCTGTGATGGCTTGTGATGATGAGTGGAGCTGTGATGAGTGGTGATGAGTTGTGATGAGAAGTGGACCTGTGAGAAGTGATGAGAAGTGGAAGTGTGAGAAGTGGAGCTGTGATGAGTTGTGATGAGCAGTGGAGCTGTGATGAGTGAGGTGTGAGAAGTGGAGCTGTGATGAGTTGGGATGTGATAAGGTGTGATGAGACAGTGATAAGTGGGGAGTGAGATGTGGTGTAGTGATGAGTGGTGAATGATGAGTGGCGCCTGCACGCAAAAGGCAGCCGCGGCCCCAGCGGCGGCCACGCGCGCCGCAGCTCGTCCAGGAGGCTCTGTGTACTGCGCCTGCCAGGCGAAAGGCAGCCGCGGCCCCAGCGGCGGCCACGCGCGCCGCAGCTCGTCCAGGAGGCTCTGTGTACTGCGCCTGCCACGCGAAAGGCAGCGCCTCCAGGAGGCTCTGTGTACTGCGCCTGCCACGCGAAAGGCAGCCGCGGCCCCTGCAGCGGCGGCCACGCGCGTGAGTGAGTGAGTGAGTGAGTGAGTGAGTGAGTGAGTGAGTGAGTGAGTGAGTGAGTGAGTGAGTGAGTGAGTGAGGGAAGGAGTGACTGAGGGAAGGAGTGACTGAGTGACTGAGTGACTGAGTGACTGAGTGACTGAGTGACTGAGTGACTGAGTGACTGAGTGACTGAGTGACTGAGTGACTGAGTGACTGAGTGACTGAGGGAGGGAGGGAGTGAGGGAGTGAGGGAGGGAGGGAGGAAGAATGAGACTCCCAATTGTCTTGGTTGGTGCAGCCTGCTTCTCCACGATATGATGCATAGCTATGTTAATCAGGACCATGCTGACTACACTTAGCGGGTCTCCTTCCGGATATCCTGTACAAGACTGGATGCCAAAGGAACATGCTCCCCCTACGATGAAGTGTCGAGTGATGCCTGCAACAGCCATGTGCCAGCTACGCATGAAAACTTCCGGCAAACCACAGTGACGTCCTATTGCATAAACTACTGCTCGTGGCAATGAGGGAGTTAGGGAGGGAGTGAGAGTGAGTGAGTGAGTGAGTGAGTGAGTGAGTGAGTGAGTGAGTGAGTGAGTGAGTGGG